CCCCGAGCCTCCGCTTGGTTTCCCCGATGTAGAGGAAGCCACACCGGATACAGTGGATGCAGTATACCACATTGGCAGATGTGCAGGTGAACATCTGCTTGATGTGGAAAGTCTTCTTGGGGCCTGGGATGGGGGTGAGGGAGGAGGTATGGGGGCAGGTGTAGCACTTCCTGCGGTTGCAGGGAAAAGTGCTGGGTGTGGTGGAGCTGGAGGGGAGTGTGGAGCGGACAAGGGAGTCACGGAGAGAGTTGTCCCTCCGGAAAGCAGATAAGGGTGGGGAGGGAAAGATGTCTTTGGTGGTGGGGTCGGATTGCAGATGGCGGAAGTGTCGGAGGATGATGCGTTGGATCCGGAGGTTGGTGGGGTGGTACATGAGGACGAGGGGGATTCTTTTTTGGTTCTTATTGCGTGAACGGGGTGTGAGGGATGAGGTGCGGGAGATGTGGGAGACACGGTTGAGGGCGTTCTCGACCACCGAGGGGGGGAAGTTACGGTCCTTGAAAAACGAGGACAACTGAGATGTACGGGAGTGGAATGCCTCATCCTGGGAGCAGATGCGGCGGAGGCGAGGGAATTGGGAATAGGGAATAGCATTTTTGCAGGAAGGTGGGTGGGAGGAGGAGTATTCTAGGTAGCTGTGGGAGTCGGTGGGCTTGAAATGAATATCGGTTTCTAGATGGTTGCCCGATATGGAGACAGAGAGGTCCAGGAAGGGGAGAGAGGTGTTAGAGGTGGTCCAGGTAAACTTAAGGTTGAGGTGGAAGGTGTTAGTGAAGTGGATGAACTGTTCGAGCTCCTCGTGGGAGCACGAGGCGGCGCCGATACTGTCATCAATGTAACGGAGGAAGAGGTGGGGTTTAGGGCCGGTGTAGGCACGGAAGAGGGATTGTTCCACGTAACCTACAAAGAGGCAGGCGTAGCTTGGGCCCATGCGGGTACCCATGGCTACCCGCTTTGTCTGTAGGAAGTGGGAGGAATTGAAAGAGAAGTTGTTGAGTGTGAGGACGAGTTCGGCTAAGCGGATGAGGGTATCAGTGGAGGGGGACTGGTCGGGCCTGCGGGACAGGAAGAAGCGGAGGGCCTTAAGGCCATCTGCATGGGGAATGCAGGTGTAGAGGGACTGGACGTCCATGGTAAAGATGAGGTGTTGGGGACCGGGGAATTGGAAGTTCTGGAGGAGGTGGAGGGCGTGGTTGGTGTCACGGACATAGGTAGGGAGTTCCTGGACCAAGGGGGAGAAAATGGAGTCTAGATAGTTGGAGATCGGCCCTGAAATTGCAAGTCCACCACTTGTGCCATTTGAATAAAAGTCAGAAGTCAATGGGTTTAAGTTGTCTTTCCAACATGCTTCACATTTTTGGCCATGTGATCACACATCAACATCCCATCTGACCTGTTATTCCATGTTCAAATTACCTCTACCACATACGTTGTTTCAGAAAGTTGTCTTCACCATATTAGAAATTCTCCTCCTTCTTTCTTCTTAGCAGCAGATTCTTTATTCTGATCTAAATAAGTATAATAAGGGCTGGATCTTTAAAATAGTGTAAGGGCCCAGATATAGATGTCCCACTCCCACTGCCAACAACTCCCTGCTTTGCCAGAAGAGGAAAGGAGGTGTATGTCATTCACATATGAAAGAAACAGATCCATTTGAACTCAGCACTGAGTTACTTCTGAAAGGGGCATGGCAGCAAAAACAAGATTTAACTTAATTTTAAAATACAATTTTGTGCTCTCGATCCCCTGCCCTGCCCTCAGGTCGAAAGAGGTCCATCTCCAGGGATACCCTTGCAGGAATGTCACTATAGAAAAGAGGCAACAGTTGGATGTCACAAACCCCACCACAGCCCACAAAGCTGGGCCTTTTAATGGCCAACCTAGTCAGGCCTACCAGTAGACTAATGAGGAGGCCTTCTGACATAGCTGCAGGCCCAAACCCCTACCACATACCCCAAATCAGGTGCCATAAACTCAGGAGCATGGGGCTAAAATAAACCAAACCTTGAGAAGGCCTTGAAAAGGGGCTGCAATCTTGTACAACCTATTTAAATATGGAACATGGTCTCCTGAAGGCCCAGAAATTAAAATGGGAGCTCATGAACTAACATGACTTTCTATTCCATGTGATTGCTATAACCTTTACACCAAATCCACAAAGGAAAGTGGGGCCTCCGAATAAAATATTCTCTTTATATTATTTTGAGAACAAATAAGGAACTAACAATACAAGCAAGCTAATTAAACATATTAACTAGTGATAGCCTTTAAAAGATCACTGAGACAAAAATCAAATCATCAAAAGAAACTTTCAGACTTTAAGGTATCGGTCCTAGGAATCAGGATACACCGTAACCAAAAGAATGTTTCTTCATATGTACACGAATGAGCAAATGAGTGCCCCCTGTTGGAAACTCTTAATTTTAATTGATTCAATTAACATGAGTATGCACTTACTTTGATTTTATTTCATCAGACTTCGTGAAAATAATACTTTTTTTGCTGCTGCATTGCTTGCTCATAAAATTATGGGGTAGTTAAGTTATGTTTTTAATGTCATTTAAATGATTGCACCATTTCTTTCTTGTCTTTCAGTGAACCTAGTCTCAATGGAGACGACCTACTTTGTCTGTGGGTTGCTGTTTGCTGGAGTGGTTGAAGAATGTGTATGGGATTACGCCATCACAATTACTCTTATTCACATTGCAGTTACTTCAACAGGTAAGCAATGCTTTAACTCAAATAAATCTCAGTTAAAGCTATTCTATTTTGTTTCAATGCTTAAAATATCATTCTATTTTCTGAAGAGATACCTAATCGCAACAGAAACAAAATTTCATGCATCATAACATCTTATGCCTGAACAAATGCAAATTGTATCCCCATTTGAAGAGAGTGGAAGAGGATACAGAAATCTAACAGCATGTGCAGTTCAAATTCTGAATGCTCCTTGCTTAATCATACTGTTTCTTGCCAAAAATTCACAATCGCATCAAAGAGGGTACGAAACATTAAACATTGCTGTCAGCTATGAAACCTCTGGGAGCTGTTTGTCTACTTTCTGTGGTCTACCCAGCATTTTAAGTTGGAAATTTAGAGGACATATTTGAGGGTCTGTTAGAGATACACTGGAGGTGTCCTTGCTCAGGATTAGCAACACAAGGAGGTCTGTAGACTCCATCTCACTCTCTCACACACACGCACACAAGCTCATCTCACCAAAACAACCATCCACACAAAAGAAACATTTATATCAGATCATTGCGCAGAGGTTTTTCTTAAAAGGAATGCAATCCCAGATCCTTGATCATGCACTAACCTTTCACTACAGATAGCATTATCCATCCCTATCTACTTCATTTTGATGTGCATTTGAAGCATCGTCTGGATTCCACGCTGACAATAGTGGCTGCAAAGCTTTGAATGTGCGATTTTCGATCAGAGATGAAAAGGCTTTACCTTTCTATGGTGGAGATGAAAAATTGGAAGATATTTTTGAGACACTCTTCTGGAAGATGGAAATGACTCAGCAAAAATGCGCTAACGACCTGTTTTATGATGCAGAAATTACAGTAAGGAAAATAATTGTCTTCTGACATACTAAGCAAGAAGTAAATGAGACAATTGATGAACTTAGCATACAGCTGTAGTAATCATGAACCAAATGTGATTTTGGTGATGGTGAACATGTCAAAACAGGAAATCAAAGCACAAATAATCCAAGATTGTTTCTATTGAATAAGCAACATGTGCTGTTGCTCATCATGCTGTAAGATCTCAAATTACCATTGCTTACTCTCTGGTAGATTTGTTGCCATGATCCTCTTTCCTGGTAGAGATTTATAGGACCCACTTGCTCTGGCATGGTAGGGAGAAACGACTTGATCACCCAATGAGAATGATCTTAAATAAAGATGTATTTCATTGCATGGTAACACCTACATATAAGTTACGCTGAGGTGATAGACATTTTTACAAAGACTGTTAGGAAGACCCAAATGGTAGTTCTCACTTCTTCAAGATCCTAAGCTGTTCTCCCATCAAGCCCATATGACTTTCCTTTAGTGGGTGATGCTTAAGGCTCTCATTAGTATGAACCCCTTCAGATCCTTAAACCCTTATACAACAGTTTCAGCAAATTCACCAGAAAGCACTCAAGAAAAGCAGAACATTGTTAGAGCTGAAGTTAACAAGATCACTATTGTTTACAGAGTGCAGAGCTACTGAAGTAAAGCTGCCAGTAATAATGATCACAGTCCTAGTTCAACTCCTGTTGAATAGTTCAACTATTGCTGGTGAGTCTGGAGAACATACTGCAAAGCAACAGTTTTCACGGAGTTTCAACTTGACCAAAGAATGTTTCCATTGTGACAGTGCTTACCAATACCAGACAGAATGTCCTGCTGCTGGCAAACAAATCAAGGCCTATGGAAAACTCCGACACCTTTCTCATAGTTGTTGCTCATCAGTGAATTCAACTACAAAGACTAATATCGTGGGAAGGATGCCACATGTACAACTGAAACAAAAGTGAGGGAATATAGCTGGTCAAGGCAAATGAGCAAAGCAACCACTGTGTGTAAAACTCACCATTGACTGTTTGAAAGTAAATGCTCTCATTGATACATAAGCTTCTGTCAATGTCATGGGAGATAAAACATTCAACAAACTTTGGAACTGCTCCAATTTCCTGCAACCAGGGAATACGAAAATTTTGCCTTACAGCAGTGACAAATCACTTAAGGTTCTCAGGATTTTGCCTGTTTTATTTAAAAGAATTGTGTCTAGACTTATTCATTTTCACCCAGCAGTAGATCTGCACCTGATTTCAGTCACATACACAGCTCATACACATTGCAATAATGTTTTTGAATTGAATGCTAACTACTTCTTCAGTAGCGGAAAACTGAATTCTAACAGATTTCTCAGGCATGACCATCCCTTGATGAAGACGTGCTCACTCAGCCCTATTTTACCATGCATTTCCAAGTACTCCGCAATTTCATCTTAATAATGGACTCTAATATATTACAATGACAGAGGTCAGGCTAACTGTCCTATAATTTCCTATCTTCTGATTCCATCCCTTCTTAGGGGTGTTACATTAGCCATTTTCCAATCCTCTGGGACGCTCCTTGACTCCAGTGATTCCTGAAAGATCACCGTCCATGTCTTCACAATCTCCTGAGCTATCTCCTTCAGAGCCCTGGGGTATAGACTGCCCAGTCTGGATGATTTATCCATCTTCAGACTTTCCAGCTTTCCCAGCACCTTTTGCCGAGTGATGGCCATTACACTCACCTCTGCCCCTGAATCTCTTGAAGTTCTGGTATGCTACTAGTGTCTTCCACTGTGAAGACCAACGTAAAGTACTTATCCAGTTCATCTGCCATTTCTTTGTTGCCAATTACTATTTCTCCAGCCTTATTTTCCAGAGGTCCAATGTCCACTTTTGCCTCTTTTCTTTTACGTTTCTAGCTGGCTTACCCTCATATTTCATCTTCTCCCCCTTTTTGCTGTTCTAGTTGTCCTCTGCTGGTTTTTAAAGGTTTCCCAATCCTCCCACAAATCTTCACCCCATGATAACATACCGCCTGCTTGACTAGAACGTCAGACATTCAAACAACAACAGCATGTTCCTTCAATCCAGTGATTAACTTGTGCAACATACGTTGCCAGCAGTCAGTCCTACTAGTCTTGAAAAAAAAATTACCAAACAACTTCTTAACCACATACGCCTAAATGAGAAGCCAAAATTGAGAAAACTAGTTGAAATCAAAGCAACAACAAAACATGATGAGACATTGCAACTATGTATGACAATATGGAAATAATACTGAAAAGATATGAGCAAACGAGCATCTACAAACAAAATTGCTCACACATTAAAAAACCTTCAGAATATTCAAAATAAGTTCATCATTACAACCATATCTGATCCTGTGTTGTACAACAACTGTTTGTCACTCTGAAATTATTGAGGGAATGTATTGTTGATAAAACACCAGGAAATTTACAGAATCAAACAACATGGTGGGACAAGCTGTGTGTCTCAAAAATTGACTGCTTGGTAGAGCACAAATCTGAGGTTCTTTTGTGTTGAGCAACCACAGTGTTAATCATTGTGATCTTCTCAAGGTATATGGCCCATCCTGCAGAACTAATATATTGAGATTAACATATATGAGAATGTGCAGAATAATTGGATTGAAGTAAATGCAGAGCAAAATATGAAATTTAGAGCTATACCATCCAGATGATAGAATACTTAAGGGCCAAGCTAGAAAGCAAATGACCCCCTATGAGATCCATCCATTTGTTGTGATTGAGAGAAAGAATCAATAAGCACTATGTGTGGTTGCATATCATCACAAGAAACACATTATTCTTCGTAGCACTGAAAATAACATTCAAATTATTGAATCTGATTCAGATATCAACACCTCAGATGAAGAACATGAGTTAAATGTGACCACACCTGATGGCAGATTATATCCTACTAGGGAGAGAAGTCATGTATGAGACTTAAATGATTATGGGTGAGAATTGCACCCCCCCCCCCCCCCCCCCCGGTGTTGAGAATGATGGTGAAGTCTGGTGACAAAATAGGGTGAGATTGGAAAACTATCAGATTCTTGACGTTGAGAAACATCTTCTGATATTCCTTCCAAAACTTAAATCTTGTCCTTGAGTGGTGACTACCTTATTTCCATTTTATTAAAGCCCCAACTTGCCCTATTTATACATCATTTCCAATTCTCCTTTCCTTCACTGAGAAACTAGATGGTGCAAATTCCTGACTGGTACTTAGCAGCTGCAGCTTGCCAAATGCCTATCCCAGCGTCAACAACTCTGCTTCTTCTGCACAACAAAATACTCCATGGACACCATCTCTGTCCACCCTTCATGCGCACAACTCTGCATCCGCAAACCACCAGCCTCACAACATCATCATGCCTGTTCTCAGCCCAACTCAAAGGCCTGCTTCAAACCATTAACACCGTAATTTGGAGTTATAGGACTAACTGTTATACATGATTCCTGTCTGCTGTTGCTGGCCTTGCAGGACTGAATGTTGGCCACTACCTGGTCTGCAGTTGAACAGATCCCCCAACTGTGAGCACTCCAAGCAAATGTCTGGCCATGGCCATGCCCCTGGACTGTGTGCAGACTGTGCCCATGACTGATGGTAGCAGGACCCTCTGACAGACATATCCTCCCCGGACCTTGACTGGACTGAGAACTAGCCCTCACCCCTTTTTCTGACTTGACCAATTGGTTGAATAAACGTGCAGTGTGTTTACTGTGCAGGCAGTTGGCACATTCTGTATATGTTCGATTGACATTTTAGTGTGCCATACAGCAAGTTGTGCCTCTTCCAGTTCTCACGCCCCTCACTTTGGGCAGATCCCTACTCACGAGCATGACAAGTAGCCTGACTACGTGGCTGTGCAAAATGTCAATAGAGCAATAGTGACAGCCTTTGGCTTTGGCTGAAGGGTCAACACATTAACAGGCGTGGCACATCAGGCAAGGCATGCTGTGGAAGCTGTGAGCATGCAGGTAAGTGTTAAGTCAGTGAGCACTAAGGAAGCAGCCCTGAGATACAGCTTTGTCCAATCCATGGGCTGGGTGCCTGACCTTGCGTACAATATGTCCCTTATGCAGCCTTTCGAAGCTAGTTACAGGTGCACCTTGCAATGTATGTCTGTGCTTCCTAA